CTCCAGGCCCAACCTCAAGAAATGTGTTATCTTTCAACCTGCAAATGAATTCTGCCTTTCGTGAATGGAGGATTGTTTTAATGATGAATCTTTTGGATTAAAGGAAATTGGCTTGAGATCTCAGTTACTCACTGAGTTATTCTGAGTCAGATGCTCAACTTCCGTGAGCCTCAGATTGCCCATTTGTGTAAAGGGGCCATGCTATCCATCTTAGAGGTTATTGTGAAGATGGCGTACGATAAAAAGTGTGTGATCCATGAAGCTGGCACTGGATTCATGATGGTTTTCTCTCTCTCTCTCTCTCTCTCTCTCTTTCTCTCTTTGTGTGTGTGTGTGTGCTATGTGCTCTGAGAGAGGACTAGTGATTTTTTTTTCCACCATGCAGTCTCTCAGTAGGCAGTTTTCACCACTCACTGCAGCTTGGAGTAAGCAAGCAATTCTGGCCTCAATCTCTGAATGAATTTCTGTTTTCTTTACAGTCCAAGAGAATAAAGAAAGTCAAATGAAGAGGGCATTGAGCCACAAGAGGTGACTGGGAGCTGAGCTTCTCCCACCGTCTCTCTGCCTGGGCTTTACCAAGCAAATGAGGCCAATGCTTCCTTGCTTTCGATAAATCAGATGTTGTTTTGAGTCCTTTTGGTTCCTGCTTCTTTTACGTTCTTGTGAGTTCTGATGTTTGCCAATTCTTACTCAATGTGATAATACTTGTTTTTGGAACAGTTAAGTCTTAGGTGTTTTGGAAGACAAGTAATGATACTGTCAGTAATAAAAAAGAAGAAACTGTGGTAAAAAAGGAACATTTATTTATTGAATGCTTACAATGCATTATTCTAAGACAAAATTCTAAGTGTTTCCTGGGCATTATGTATTGTTTATTAAGAAAACTCCACGAAATCAGTACATCATGGATAGTTAAAAACATGTATTCTGACAGTTTCTGTGCATCAGAACTTTTTTTAATTTAAAAAGATTTATTTTATTGTTTTTATTGGAAAGTCAGATATATAGTGAGGAGGAGAGACAGAGGAAGATCTTCCTTCTGCTGATTCACTCTCCAAATGGTTACAATAGCTGGAACTGCACAATCCGAAGGAAGTGGAGCTGCTGGGATTAGAACCCGTGCCCATATGGAATCCTGGTGCATCAAGGTGAGGACTTTAGTCGCTAGGCGACTGGTGGTTGTGGCTTCCTTTCCAGTTCACGTGTGGGACAATCATATGCTGGCCTGATATACAGATGTTAGAAGACTTGGCTGGATGAATGGTCTGCTTCACTGATGGTTCACTCCAGCGGCTGGCCAGGAGGCTCAAGGTAGCCTACCCCATGGCTGCTTGGGTGTCCTCACAGAGTGGTGGCTGGTTTCCCCTAGAGCAAGTGACCAGAGAGAAAGAAGAAGCTGCTCTATCCTTTGTGACCGAGCCCTGGATGTTAATAGCCATTAGTCCTTCCGGTGAGTCCCATTCTGGGTGAGAAGCATTACACAGGGCATGGAAAGTAGAAAGGAGACTCTTTGAGAGCCATCTCAGAGGCTTTCATCTTGCAATGTGAACCACATCCAAAGCAGCAGCTAACTTACCTTGAGCCATTGCTACGTGCAGGTAATGACATGCATAGTGCTGTGGGCCAAAGCCTTTAGCATACAGCATGCCCTTCAGCCTTGGCAGCAAGCCTGAGCTCCAGATACTCTTATCCTTTTCTACAGGACACTGAGGCTCAGGGAGCCCCCTGACTTGGCCAAGGTCACAGAACTGGTATGTGGCAGGTGAAGTCAGCATGACTTCAGACAGGTGTAAGTGCAAGTACGGCTTGTGTGATTTTTATCTGTGCTGTCACCAAGGATCCCAAGAGGAGGCAGTGAGAACATGTGTGCGATCTATCATTAACTCTACAGCACGCACGGGGCAGATGCTTCCTTCTCTTCCTCAGCAGTGTGAAACCACGCAGAAGCAGGTATCTGAAATCAGAGTGCCTACTGGTGGATGAGAGACAGAAAGCACACTGATTTTGCTTTTGAGTAAACCAATCTTAAGCATGTGACTTGCCCACAGGACGTGTGTGATTAGCACTGGATCTCATCACATTTCTGGGAAGTTGACTGTCTCGTGCTTCTACTAGCATTCTAAGGAACTGGGGGTGGTGGGTGAGGTCTTTATTCAGTAAGTAATCAGTAAGGTACAGGTTGGCTATCCTGCATCCACATCCTTATGAGCAGAAGCCTTTTGCACTTAGAATGATTTTGGAATAGATGAATATTCGTGATGAGATAGCTTAGGGGATCACATCCAAATCTAAACATGAAATCCACTTCTGTGTCATAAACACTTAAGCAATTTTGTTTTGGATAGTTCTGCACACGAATCAAAGTCTGACAGTGTGAAATTTTCTGCTTGTGATATTGCGTTGGTTTTGGATTTTACAGCATTTTGGAGATGTGGATTTGAGATACGCAACTATCTAAACAATACTTTCATCTCCTGCTTTCCTTATATGGTGATGAAGTTGGGACTAAGTATAAGATCGAAAGTTGAACTTCTAGAGATTTTATATTTTTCAAGTGATTTTGTAATATATTGAAAAGAAATGTGTTTGCGTGCCTGAGTTACACACACACCGAGACAGAGAGAGGTGACCAGTAAGCTAGGCACATAGAATAATTCCCAGAGTTCAAGCTTGTGTGCACAGATACCTAAACAAACAAAAGGGACAGCACCAGGTCTGGCCTATGGTTCCATATGCCTTAGCTTTGGAGATCAATGACAAAGTACTATATTCCTCTTTCAGCATCATTACTAAAGTTGGGAGGTGGTTCCTCCCATGTTTGTTACAGAAAAATGCACATACTAAGATACAATGGAAATTTCATGTAAAATTTGAGGAGTTTTTAAAACTCTGAAGCATGGAACAATCTCCTAGTGTTCACAGATCTGCGGATAGAACTCCCGATGTTAAATCCTTTGGAGAATTAATTTAGCGCTTCCATATTTGATAGACTACTTTATAACATGAACCCTGCTCCATTTTCCCACACCATGCCCTATTTTCCCATTGCCTAGAACCATCATCGGTATGTTTAAATTTTGGCTTGATCCACTTCAACCTTCCTAGGTGCAGACTAAAGCAAGCAACGAGACCTTCTGCCAATGTCCGGGAGGCTGTAGCCACAGCCCAGTGCAATACACACATTCACCTCATAACTCCTCTTTCCAAGTAGCCAATCAGCCTGTTCCTCTTGATGGGGACTTTAGTACACCCTGGTAAGAAAAAGAAGAGACCTGAGGGAGGAGAAGAGACTAACAATGCAACCTGCAGGTATTGTTGCCTTGGTCTAGCAGACCTGATTGAATACTCTTGGGACTTTTATGCAAAATAGGTACTCCAATGTCCGTTCCCTGACTGGCTCATGTAGCATACCTCATTAGCATACACTTGACCAATCATGAAAGACTTCCTGCTTTAGAAACACATAAATTCTGAGCCAGGCAGTGTTGAGCAGCAGTTCAGGTGTGCAGTCCTGCTGGCTGGGCAGGCCCTACCTGCTGCTGGAGAGTTATACCTGCTTCTTCTGACAAACACCATTTTTTTTTTTTTGTGCAGTTCCTTCTTCTTTTTGGCAGAAAAGAGAAGCTGCGACACGGGGCTGCAACAGGAAGAGCTGAAGCACAGGCACTGTGCTGTTCCTGAGCGGTCTGGGGAACCTCAGCATCTGCCACATCTCAGGACCAGTCACCCACGCCACCTCCTGCCACTGCTCGTGAGCACCAACACCAGACTCCCACCCCTCCCGCACCGCCCCAGCTCCTCTGGATGGGTACACTCTAGGCAGAGGTGGACCTTAGGGTGACACGTAGAGCCGGGTGAGCACCGCTAAGACCAAGATGCAGAGCATCAGCTGTTGCCCAGAATCCCCCCGGGTTTCCTCACACGTGGCCCCCTCTTCCCACCGCCAGACCCTGGGAACCGTTGTCCTGACTTTGCTGTAATTACGCTCCCCAGTCTCCTGTGCTATAAACCAAATTACACAGAACGAAGCCCAGAGGGACTCAATTCTTTTTCCAAATAGTAGGCTTATGCATTTTTAAAAAAAGATTTATTTATTTTTATTTGAAAGGCAGATTTTACAGAGATGGGAGACAGAGATATGCCATCTGCTGGTTTACTCCCCAAATGGTCACAAACAAGAGCTGAGCTGATCCAAAGCTAGGAAAAAAGGAGCTTTTTCTGGGGATCCTATGAGGGTGCAGGGTTCCAAGACCTTGGCCCATCATTTGCTGCTTTCCCAGACCATAAGCGAACTTAAAGGTGTTTTTTGCCTCTCCCACTGTGTAAATGCTTTGGGACTTACCAGTACTCTCTGGAAGCCCTACTCACTACATTAGGGGCAGCTGTTGTTGCTTGCGTGTGTCATTGCATCTGAGTGCCTGCCTTTACTTAGCTTTCCTGCAGTCTGCAACCCAAGAGTCCCACTGCTCCAGGTGGACGCAATGCACAAGAAAGAACCCAGGTGGCAGAGCTGCAACGCGGCAGGTATCGGTCTCCTGACTCCACCTGTGGCTCAGGAATCACCTTCAGCTCAGTCAGCATTTTAACGCACCCATGGGTGGGGAGCATACTGAACTTGAAGAAGCGCGGGCCGTCTTCCACAATTGCTACCAAAAGCACTTTTACTCCAGCGGCTTACAATGCGTCATAAACTTTCTGTGTTTCCCCCTGAGGTAAGCGCATTTTATAGTGGAGTACAAAAGTGAGGTTTGGAGCTGAGGAAGGGGCCAGCACTGCATCCTCGCAAGCTGTAGGGAAGAAAGTGGCAGAAAACTGGGCTGCAGGTGGCGGCTGTTGCGATAACCTCACCTGCGGACTGGGGAGGCAGCGAGAGGCCCTCACAGGCCGACCCTCTGCGCGCACCCCTCGGCGGCTCCTGGGCCCAGGTGGGGGACACAGCCCCGCAGCTTGCAACACTTCGGGGAGCCGGGCCGGGGCGGCCCCGGGCCTGGGCGGGCCGGAGCGAGGGGTGGGAGGGCCGGCCAGGGGCGGGGCCAGCGCGGCGAGGGGCGGGGTGAGCGCCGAGGCCGCGGGGGCAGCGACGGCGCCGGGCAGCGGGAGCGGCGGCCGCGCCATGTGGCTGCTGGGGCCGCTGTGCCTGCTGCTGAGCAGCGCCGCGGGTGAGTCGGGGGGCGGCGGGCGAAACGGGGCTCGGGGCGCGGCGGCCGGGCAGCGCTCGAGCGCGGTGTCCGCGCGTGGGCCGCGTCCCGGGTGTGCGGGGAGGGAGGACCACGACGCCGGGCTGGCCGGGACCCCGGTGAGGGGCCGCCGCGGGGTGCGCGCCGTCCTATTGTGTGGGCGTGCGCGCCGGGCCCGTGGCGTGTTGTGTGTGTGTGTGTGTGTGTGCGCGCGCGCGGGCGGGGCTTTGTGTGCAACCCGGCGGCGGGGAGCCGTGCGGCCGCCCCATTGGGCGTAGCTCGAGTGTGTGTGTGTGTGTGTGTGTGTGTGTGTGTGTGTGTGTGTTATGCGTGTGGGGAAGCGGCGGGGAGAGCTCCTCCCAGACGCCAGGGCTCTCGAGGCTGTGCCAGGGCCCGCTTCCAAGCCTTTCGCGTGCGCCCTGTGCCTCAGTTTCCCCACCTGCGTTGCGGGGGTGGGTGGGAAGGGGAGTAGCCTCGGTGCTTCCTTCCCGCGGGCTGATTTGGGCAGGGTACGGTGAAAAGCCTGGCCCGACCTGGGAATGATACATGTCCCTCAGGGATCCTGGCAGCGGGAGCTTTTCTGAAGGTGTGTGCAGTGGACATGCTGGTCAGAGAGGGGCGTTAGGACGGCGGGGGGGTGACTCCGCGTCCTCACAGCCTGAGCATCCTGGGGGCCCTGAGACAGTTGCAAGCCGCCCTCCCTTCTAGACTATGTGCTGTTCCCAGGAACTTTTCTGCTGATGTGGGCACGCTCCGAATTCCAGCCTGGAGCCGGTACCGTGCCACCCCTGCCTACCGGCTGCAGCTGTCAGCCGCCCCTCCTTGCCTTGGCCCTTGGCCCCTGGCTCCCTGACGTTTATTTCTGGACAGCTGAAGCCCAGAAAGTGGGTGACAGGGCCTAGCGAACTTTCTTCCCAAGCTTGCTTGGCGTTTATGACATGCACAGGTTTCATTTACGCCTGCTCTTCTGGAATGCTTCTAGCAGCTTTGCCTGTGGAGGTGACTTGGGTGGACTGTTGGTTGGGAAAGTTGAGGCTCTGTTCGTTTTGAGCTCTCCTTTGCTGATATGAATGGTCCTGCTGAAGTCCTGGGCAATCTCCGAATGTCCCAGGAGCCGCTCCTGTGGCTGGCCCCCACCCCCAGACAGATGACGTCATCCCGGCTCTGAGACTCCATTTAGATGTCTGTGGGTTTTGCTAGGTTTCCAGCGAGGGGCTCAGACTCTTGGTAGCTCCTGTGGGTTTTTAACCCTGTCCAGTCAATGTACCCTGGTCCTCCTGATCTATTATTGGGCCACTCTGGGTGTAGGGCTGCGAAGGGGCAGTGGACAGCTGCGAACAGGTGTGAATTATTTGAGGGCTGGTAGATCAGGGCGGAGTTCCCTGGGCGGTTCAGACACGAGGACCTGCCTCACTCAGGGTGCATAGCTGCCCTGACAGCACCCAAGCACAGTTCTGGAAGCCGGCTGTTGTGTGTGTGTATGTGTGGACAGCTACTTGGGGCAGGGTGGACACTGTTATTTATTGCATCTGCCAGTTGGTACTGGATTGTTTTGGTTGAGTCTCCATTTTTGTAAAAATAGTTAATTTTGTCCCACTCTACTCAGCACTGATTACTTGAAATGTGTGTGTGTGTCCCATAGGGTTCAAACACATGACATGGCTATCACAAGGAGGGGGAGTGTGCTTGATCCATGATCCAGTTAGCATCCTCTTAGCACGGACTCCACTTTGACCTGTCACTGGGAATTGGGCTGCCACATTCTCCCGTTGACTGACCTCGTGGTGGGCCCTGAGACCCTAAGCTGTATCTTGGTTCTCTTGTGGGAAGTTGATCCAACAGGAGCTTTTGCAGAAGCTGGCGCTGTGGATTTCCGCCTCTGGTTGAGAGTCTGTGTAGAGACCTGGGGGTCAGGGTTGAGTTCCAGTCTGGGTTCCTGGACTTTGTAGGCCTGGAAGGCCCCTGGCATTCCATAGCACTTGGGAGGCCTCTGCGGCTCAGGAACCTCCTCAGACACCTTCATGTGGGTTTCATTGTTTGTGGCAGGGAAGTGAAGCATTGATTTTGGCTGCTGTTGCGTTTTAATGCATCCTGAAAGACAGACTTGGCCACACCATGTGACATTCAGTTTTCCTGTGTGTGGGTGGCGTGGTAGGTGTAGGCCTGTGGGCCTCCAGACATTTCTCATGGGAGTTGTGGGGGGAGGGTAGCCGGACTGCTCACCTCTTCCTGCGGGCTGACCTTGACTCCCTGACATTGTCCTTTTGTCAAGGAAAGGCTCCGTTGACCCTGTGTCCACCCTTCAGAATGGCAGGTTTTTACTGGGGCCCATGTGTTTACTGGGGTGCTGGGTGGGTTTTTATTTTATTTATTTGTTTTTAAATGACTAAGCTGCTTTGCAAAGCCCAGCATGGCCTAAGCCCTTAGATGAAACCACATGCGCACAAGTACAAATAAACACACCTTGTTGTTTTCAAAGAAATGTGGCTTAGTCTCCCTGCTGGGATGGGAGGTGTCTTTTCCTGACAGCCCACAGAGGCCCTTAACCCTGGGATCAGGGAAGGAAGGAGCTGGAGAAACGATGGGAGATGCTGGGCCTTGAGGACTGCGTGGACGTCTTTGGCTGGAGTCACCAGGATGGGTGGCAAGTGGGATGCATGTGTTATCTGTGTATGATGGATGGCATGTGTCCCCTTGGTAAAAGGGCTGAGATATCTCTGATACACAGGCCATCTCATAGGGAAGATACAATCTGCTGTGCTTTGCCTGTGAGGCTGGACCCAGGGCGGAGCTTCCCTGTGGGAGGGGCCTTGCTCACAACTTTGAACACCTGCTCTTGTTGGATTTTTCCAACAAGACTGAACAACAGGAAATCGGGAGTTCAGAGCTCAGTAATATCCAGGATCCCACAGCAAGGGCTGAATGGAATGTCGGCTGTCATGCAGGTTGTTCTCAACCTCCATTGCCATTGCTTCCAGGCCCACGCACCTCTCTTCCCAGATGCTTTCGGGAGCAAACAGTGAAGTGGTTTGCATCAGTGACCCCCCCCCCCATCACATCTGTCCACTGTGTGGTTGCTGCTCCAGGCTGATTCAGCAGATGCAGCCAGCGGCCCCTGGAGTACATGCTGCTGTGAGTGGTCTGATGTAACACAAATCCCAGCTTTTGGAGTAAAGATGGAACTGTGTGTGAGACACCTGTACCTGATCCAGCTTCCTACTGATGCTCTGCCCAGGAGGTGGCATGTTGACAGCCCAATTGCTTGGGACCCTGCTGATCTTACGAGAGACCTGCCTTGACTTCTAAGGTCACTTTTTTTTTTTAAGATTTTATTTATTTTTGTTGGAAAGTCAGATTTTCAGAGAGAAGGAGAGACAGAGAGAAAGATCTTCTACCTGTTGGTTCATTCCCAAATGGCCACAATGGCCGGAGCTAAGCCAATCTGAAGCCAGGAGACAGGAACTTCTTCTGGGTCTCCCACTTGGGTCCAGGGTCCCAAGGCTGCTTTCCCAGGCCACAAGCAGGGAGCTGAAGGGAAGTGGAGCATCTGGGACATGAACAAGTGCCAATATGGGATCCTGGTGGATGCAAGAGGAGGACTTTAGCCACTAGGCTACCATGCCAGGTCTGAGTTCTGGGCTATTGGCTTCAGCTTGGCTCACTTCTGACTGTTTTGGCTCTTTGCTGATTGAACCAGGGAGTGGAGGATCTTTTTACCTCTCTACCTTACAGATAAAACGAAGAAATTATCCCATTCTTTTTGCTCTATGTAGGAATGAGTGTGTGGAAAACACTGTATCTAGGCCAGGATTTGAATTTTTGATCCGAGTTGGAGTTACAGAACTTTCATTTTTATTCACGGAACTCTGTATTTCTCCTCTTTCTTAGAGGTTTATTGTAGTTTATAATTGAAAAGTAAAAGATACCATATGCCACAGAACTCTTCTGGAGTGATGAGACTGTTTAGCTATGGAGTAGCCCCAGGGGCAAATTTATTTCTGGTTGTTGAATGTTTTTGTTTGTTCTCTGTTTCTCTCTTTGGGATATTTTGGAATGCCTGGCACATTCTATCAGTGCAGTTTAAAAAATATGTATTTATTCATTTGAAAGGCTAAATGGTATACACTTGGAAAGATAGACATGTTCCATCTGTTGGTACACTCTCCAGATGCTCTCTGCAGTTGGGACTGGGTCAGTTTGAAGCCAGGAGCCAGAAACTCCATCCTTGTTCCCAATGTGGCCCAAGCACGTGGGCCATCGTCCTCTGCTGCTTTCCCTGGCACATTAGCAGGGAGCTGTATGAGAAGTGGAGCAGCCATCACTTGCAGTAGTGGTGCTGTCACTATGGGAAATCACTGTCAGATGACAGTTTAAACTATTGCACCACAACACCTGCTTCTGTGCAGTTTTTTTTTTTTTTAACTCCCTCCCCACCCCGGTCACTGAGTCAACCTGCTGATGAGTTTTTTCAGATGGTGTGAGTTAATGTGTGTGATTGTTGTAAAAGAATTCACTCACCTCAGTGCTAAGGCATATCCTCAGAAGTGTTTGCTGGGAGAACCTCAGCCACGTGTTTGGAGCAGCAGCATTTGCTCACCCTCTCATCTGCCTGCTGCCCGCTCCCTGTGCTGTGTGGACTTTTGCCACAGGATACCTGCCAAGTCTGAGGGACAGCAGGTGTTTGTTTCAGGAAGATTGTTAGGGTTTCCCAAGCTGGTTGTAGGGACAGGTTAGTCTGGTTTGGGGCTGGAGAGTTCAGTGTGGTAAGGGCCATCCTGAGTGTTGTAGGGGATTCAAGAAGCTTTCTGGTTCTAAATGTCAGCCATAGCTCCTCTCCCCTGCCCCAGCTGTGATGTCTTTCTAGATGTTGCCAACACGCCCCTGGCTGAGAGCCTTGGTCTAGTGTGTGCCAGCCCTGCCGTCGTGCACCTCCAGTGTTACTACTGCCCAACTAGAAAAGGCCTTCAGATGCAGTGGATCAA